AGAGCGTGGCGCGTGGGGTCGGGCTGCGGCAGCCCAGAGCGTGGCACGTGGGGTCGGGCTGCGGCAGCCCAGAGCGTGGCGCGTGGGGTCGGGCTGCGGCAGCCCAGAGCATGGCACGTGGGGACGAGCTGCCGCAGCCCAGAATGTGACGTGTGGGGACGGGCTGAGCGTGGCGCGTGGGGACGGGCTGAGCGTGACGTGTGGGGACGGGCTGAGCGTGGCGTGTGGGGACGGGCTGAGCGTGGCGTGTGGGGACGGGCTGAGCATGGCGCGTGGGGTCGGGCAGCCGCAGCTCAGAGCGTGGCGCATGGGGACAGGCTCCGCTGCCCAGAGCGTGGGCATCCGTGTCCTCAACTGGGGCGTCCGGATCCCCAGACCCAGAGCGTCCATGCCCACAGATCGGGGCCCGCACCCCGGGCCCGGCGTCCGTACCCTCGGGTCCTGCAGCCTCCTCCAGGACATGTTTCTCCACGACAGGCTTCTCCTCGGGGAGAGTCGGCGTCCACAGGGCCAATTCTGTGATTTTTATAGCTTTCCACTTGGGAACAATATTTATTGATGTCTCCTCCTCCTCCTCCTCTTCTCCTCTTTCCTGAGGGCAAAAAAATATATATAAATTTACCCTAAAGTGACCTTGGTCTACAATAGTAAAAGCCAAGAACGATGAGACCGGCTCTGAACTGCTCGCGCTGTCTCGTGGCACTATCCAGCCATCGGAACACTGCCCGTCCCCCACAGCGTCGTCTACGGGCTGAGCACAGATCTTGTTCTCACAAGAACTGGATGAGGAAGATGCCACAGAGCAGAATGGTGCCCGGCTTTGGGGCTCCGCATGCGCAGCCGTGGGGGTGGCCCTGCAGCGGCCCAGGCACGTCTCTAGATCTGACAGCCAAAGGACCACCAAGTCCCTAGCTGTCCACATAATGCCACCGAGTGCACGTGCAGACTCCATCCACATCAAGGACTGCGGGAAAGAAAAGCAAAAGCAACACGGGAGGTCAGTCCTACACGTGGCAGGTTTTATGGTTACGTGCAATCCCAACAGTGCTTGCCGGGCACATGTTTTCTATTCTTAGTTCTGCAACGATCCCAAAATTCCAAACACGTGGACAGATGGAAAACACAGAAATACGGACCATTCCCACGGGCCACCCACGATCCCTGCGCAAGAGTGGCACCGGCCTGCCTGTTGCTTCTTGGAGTTACTCTGAGAGAAACCCCTCTAGTTGGCTTTACGTTTTCTAGGTTTTGTCCCCCACGCGGTAACACCCGGCTCTGGGACTTGGAATCACTAAGATGGCTCCTTCCACGCCGATGGCTCATCCCCTCACAGAACTTCTGACGCATCATCGAGGACTTGGCTGTGGCCGGTAACTCTGCCTTCCTGACGGATTCCCAGGTGACACTGCACCAGCATCTCCTTCCTCGGCTGTGGGGCCAGCTCACAGCTGGGCGCCTCCCAAGAGAGTCAGTCCCTCACCCCACAGATCTCGGAAAGGCCACCCTCTGCAAAGCTGCTCAGAAGGTCACGTCGCACACGCCCACCACTGCACGCATCTGTCTGGTCCTGTCCAGTGTTTCCCCCTCTATTTCGCAGCCATTGGCCCAAACACTTCCCCATCCCCACAATAAACCGCACATGCCCAGCTCCGTTTCGGAGTCAGCTTCCTCAGTGTTAAAAAAAGACATGGTGAAGGATTAACTTTCCAATACCTTAGAATATGACCTTATTTGGAGATAGGGTCTTTCCAGAAGCTATCCAGTAAAAACGGAGTCATTAAGATTGGTCCTAATCCATATAATGAGTGTCTACTGAAAAGGAGAATCAGACCTAGAGTCGGATACATACAGAGGCAAAATGATCAAGGGCATGCAGCTCAACCATCAGCTCAGAATGCAGAGGTATAAACTCATCTGCAGGACTGGCCTGAGAGCCCCGAGCCGAGCGGGCCCACACAGCACCCCCTGCAGGGTTAGGCCTCCAGGGCCGGGGGCTGCTCACCTTGGGTGGAGGTGCTGGAGTATGTCAGTGTGTGGTTTTACAGGGGCTGGCAGCTAACAGCAGTCTGGAGTCTCAGGTTTGGTCTCCCGGACAATGCTGTTAGGGGGCAGGCCTGGGGAGCTCTTGGAGATGGACTGGATGCATTTAGCATGATGAAGCGGCCATGAATCTTTGGGGACCAGTGGTAGTCCATTATAGCTTGGATAGGCAGTGTCCCCCAAAAGTCCATGCGTTAAAGACTTGGCTCCCAGCCAATGGCTGGGTGGTGGAAACACAGGTGGAGTTTAGTTGGAGACGTGGGTCAGTGAGGCTTGAACCTGAACTGGAGGGGGCTGGGCCGGGACCCCTGCTTCTCCTTCCCCTCTCCTCTTCCAGTACTGACCAGCCTCTCCATCTGTCTCTGTCTCGCTGTCTCTTTCTCTATTTCCGTCTGTCTCTCCCTCTCTCTCCCTTTCTCTTTACCTGCCTGTCTGTCTGTCTTCCTCCCTCTCTCTGGTTCTCAACTGTCATGAGGTGAGCGGCACTGTTCTATCACACACTTCCTTTGGAACTATTTCATTGTTTTGGATCAGGGCCAAGTGACCAGGAACTGAAGCCTCTGAAGTTATAACTAAAATGCACCTTTCCTCCTTTTAAATGGTCTTTCGTGGGTGTTTTTTCATAGTGCTAGACAGCTAAGGCAAAGGCCATCTGCAAAAGAAGGGGAGAGCCGGGCACCGGAGGTTCACCCCTGAAATCCTAGCTACTCAGGAGGCTGAGATCTGAGGATCGTGGTTCAAAGCCAGCCCGGGCAGGAAAAGTCTGTCAGACTCTTATCTCCAATAAACCACTCAGAAAACCGGAAGTGGCGCTGTGGCTCAAGTGGTAGAGCACTCGCCTTGAGCTGAAGAGCTGAGGGACAGCGCCCGGACCCTTAGTTCAGGCCACACAACCGACAAAAAATAAAAACGAGGCGAGAGAAGTTCTGCCTTACTGAGCTTCAGGAGGAAGAGCCCTGCCGACCCGTGAGCGTCGACTTCTGGACTCCAGCGTGTACAAGAGATGCTGTGGGTAAGCTGTGGGTCTGGACTTGAGTGTGACAGCCCAGGAACACAGGAAAGGCATATCATTTTATGTAAGAGGAGAAAGACTATCATTTAGCGGGACCACTCAAATACAGGGATGTGGTATAGTTGTGTGCGTGTGTGCACGCATGTGTCTATGTGTTTAGTAGTAGTCCTGGCCATGATAAAAATGATCCAAACTTCAAAGCTCATAACCATTTCCCGACAAGGGCTGTGGAAGCAGCCGGGCCTGTCTGCCTGTGACTGTGCAGGTGACACTCAGCATGTGCACACCAGAAACACAATTCAGGCATCTGTCGCTCCAACAAAATGCCCTCAGGATTTCTATTCTCGTTTCTATTCCATTGTGTATCCTATTTTTTAACTATTGATCATAATCCGCTAAGCTGCTGTTCTGACACATGGACGGATTGCGACATGCTCTTTGAAAAACATGGCTCTGGTGCTAACGTTCAGTCATCTGTCTGAGGCGAGAGCTCACGGCGCTGCGGGAACAGCTCGGGCGATGACAAACTGTGGTGAGCCCGGTGACGGGCCTCGCTGCACGTCTGGGAGCTGTGTTTCCGCCCAGCATGGGCAGTCGCTGTGCCCAGGTATGAAGGAAGGGTTAGTCCTTGAAACTGGGTCCTACTCAAGCACACGCCGATGAGGGGCAATGAGCCGGGCGTGTTCCCAATCAGCTTCACCTGGGGCTCACGGTGCCTGAGCAGCTCGCTGGCTGCGGCTGCGGCTGCGGGGAGCGGCGTCGCTCCAGCTTACCACGTCTGTGAGGCGGTACTCTCCGTGCTGCTCACATCCAATGTCAAACACGTACTTCCCAGGGCCGACAGGCTGTGGGCAGAGAAAGCCGAAGCACGTCACTCTGAGGGCTCGAGACCCAAGAGAACACAGCACCCGCTTGCCCAATATCTCCACCAAGAAGCTTGTCCCCACCCCACCACTGGGTAAGAGTGACAGGGATTAGCCAGACACTGGCTAGCTGTCATCCTCGCTGCTCGGGAGGCTGATATCTGAGGATCAAGGTTCAAAGCCAGCCTGGGCAGGAAACTCCATAGAGACTCCTATCTCTAATTAACCAGCAAAAGGCTAAAGTATGGCTCAAGTAGTAGAGTGCCAGTGCCCGAGCCCTGAGTTCAAGTCCCATTATTGATACACATGTGCATGCGCATGCACATGAGTACACACACACGCACACGCACACGCACACGCACACACAGAGTAACAGGGACCAAAAATGCTTTGTGAAGTAAGGGCCCAGGGAGTCACAGACTACATGTCCTGTCTTATTTTAAGACCTTAACCACATTTTTACTACATTTGAAAAGGTAAATTACATTCTTCACAACTCTGCTTCTAGAACATAGAGGTTTTTAAGAAAAACAAAAACTGGGTCATAATTGCACATATAGACTCTACTTTTTCTTAGAAGCAGGCATAACTGGCTGCCCACATTCACAAGTGTCCCCACACGGCCAGTGTGGTATTTTGTTTCATCTAAGAATGGCAATCTTTCCTCATTCCCTATTGTTATTTGCAATGTCAGTGTTTGTCTTTGACAAAGAATGCTAAAGCAAGCACATGTTGGTTACGCTTAAATCTTTCTGTAGGCTCTTGATGAGGAAAAACTAATTATACCAGGAATTAATTACACAAGGAAACACACAAGTACAATCCTTGCATAAAATATGCACTCTGACCAGAATGAGGCTTTAACAGTTTCATTTTAACAACAACATTTATGAGCTCCCACGACTTCAAAATCCTGTTGTTCTTGGGTATTGATGTTTTGTTCTCTCTTTACATGGCTTTGTGTTTAAACTTCCCAGTTTAAACTTCTTCATTTTCAATTGGGTCTGTTATGCTACTTGTGAGACTGAATTTCTTTAAGGTTTTTTAAAGAATTGTTTTAATTGTACAACTTTCTGAGCTCATGTGTGGTAATTTCATACAGACATGTACTGCATAATAGTGAACTCAGTAGTAACCATTTCTAAACAGTAAACACTGTTAGTTAACATAAGAATGGACACTTCTTCATAGGGATCACTTAAACCATGATGATAAATGCAAGAGCTTTAAATATTAAATATCGCTTTATATAGCAAATATCCTCATTTCCAGCTGTCAATCATCTCATACATTTTTACAGTGTTTTCTAACCTACAAAGAGTTCATTTTGTTGTTGTTGGTCGTGGGGCTTGAACTCTGGGCCTGGGCACTGTCCCTCAGCTCAAGGCTAGTGCTCTACCACTTGAGCCACAGTGCCACTTCCGACTTTTTCTGTTTATGTGGTGCTGAGGAATCGAACCCAGGGCCTCATGCATGCAAGGCAAGCACTCTACCACTGAGCCACCTTCCCAGCCCCTAAAGAGTTCTTCTTATGAAGCTAAATCTATTGGCTTTTGCTTATCTGTTTAGAAGTTGCCCTCTCCCCATTTCAAAGTTAATTAATATTCACTTATTTTTCCCACAGGTGATTTTCTTGGTTACCTTTAAATTGTTATATCTTCTAGAAAGTTCCTTCATCTATGTGAGACAAAATTGTTTTATTCCTCCCCCCTTGATTCCCAAGGGCCCCAGGACACACTACCTGGCCACCATTGCTACCTTTTCACCCAAACTGAGAGCTCCCACATGTTTAATTTGGGGGGTGGTGTGCACGCACGCATGTGCACTGTTTCTGGAGCTTGAACTCAAGGTTTCTTGCTCTCCCTTGGCTTTTTCACCGAAAGTTGGTGCTCTGCCACTTGAGCCACAGCTGACTTTCCCGGCTAGGCTGGCTTCACACTGAGACCCTCAGATTCCAGCCCTGTGAGTAATCAGGTTCACACCTGTGAGGCGCCCATGCCCTGCCCAAGCCTCCATTCTTCTCTCCGCTTGGACCTGTCTTCACGCTGTCTAACCTTCCCCCCTCCCCTCTGCCTCTTTGCCCTGCTCCACACTTCTTGAACGACTCATCAGCAAACACAGAAACCAGTCATCTAGGAAGGAAACAGAAACCAGCGCAGCGAGCGTGAAACTGTCCGACTTCGCTGGTGCCCGTGAACAGCCCCGGCCGGGGCAAGGCTCTGAGCCGTCAGACCTCTCGGTGCTCATGACTGGCGCTTGCCCCCCCACCTCCCCCGTGGAGGAGGACGTGGGGTGACTGTCCCTGTCTTGTGACTTTAACATAGCACTTGTACATCAGCAAGTCTCTTCTCTAATCTGAAGAAATGCTCTTGTTAAAAAGACAAAATAATCGAACTGGAGGGGTCGTTCAACTGGTGGAGCGCCAGCCTTGAGTGAAAAAGCCAAGCAAAGGAGCAAGGCCTGGAGTTCAAGAAATAAAAGGAAAAAGGGGAAAGGGGTAGTGATAGAAAGCTGGGACTCAGTAGGGCGTTCTGTCCACATGAGCTGATGTGCTGAGATGAGACCTCTGTATAACTATTTAAAGATCTGTTTACATATCTTATTGCTCTATATTGATAAACCCGGCGCTGGGGAGCACCCCTTTCTACCACACAGAAGGATTTTTGTGATGAGCCGAGCCGAGGCGGCCGGTCTAATCTCAGCGGGGCTGAACGACACAGAATGGGAGAGGACATGGTCATTTCTAAGCTCGCTCGCCACCCAGCCCACACTGGCTGTTGGGGATGGGCTATGTTCTTGCTTCTGAATTCTCCAGGTCAGATAAGAACTGCAGCACACGGGCCTCTCCCAGCCTGGGGGAAGGATACAGGGCACCGTGCAGGCCGGGCCTCCGCTCAGCCTCCGCTCGGCCTCTGCAGCACCCTCAAGCATGCAAAAGGACAATGCATCCTTGTGTCCAATTTGTGTGATTCAGATTTCCACCTGACCATTGTGCACAAGCTCTGTGCGTGTGCATGTATGTGGTGCACACTCAAGGAGGAGGAGGATACACACTCGAGAAGGGGGAGGGGGCTTAGAGGAGGGGAAGGAAAGAGGGAGGAAGGAGGGGAAGAAGGAGGAAGGAAAAAGAGACTGCAAGGGGCCAATGCTAGCGCCTGGCCTTTGCGATCGGAAGGTCCTCATGCGCTGTGTGTAGAATTGTAAATTGTTTCCTAACTAGCAGGATGAAGCCTCCAGCTTCTATCTCAGATCCGTCTAGTCTGGCTTCCATGTTAACGAAAAGAGTGAGCGCTCTGTGTAGGGAAAGCTGGGCAACTTCATTCAGTTGCATGTTCCCCCGATAAGTGTCTAAGGCCAACAAACCTCCCTTCAGGGATTTTCCACTCGAGATCCCTCAAAGCCCCCACAAATGCCCTCAGGTGGGTTCTGGGTTATTCAGGGTCTCTCAGCATCCAGGAGTGCTCTGTATTAGGTGGGAAAACCAGAGTCCCCCAAACACAAATGGCCAGTGGTTGGCACAGCGCCAGGGAAGCTTCCAGACCCGGGCGGGCACTCTGGACTCCCTGCGCCCCTCCAGAGCAGCAGCGCGGGCCGGCCTGCAGCTACAGAGGGCGCCTCACACTCCTCCCAGGGAAACCAAGCCCGACACCTGCACACTGAGCTGCAGGAGATGAAGACCGGGGGCTGCTCTACCTGCGAACAGGAGCGCAGGAGAGGCTGAGATGTCCTGTAACTTAGCAACGCCGCACAGCACCGCTGGGGCTGGCAGCTGCTCCCCACCATGCCCCGCCCCCGCCCACTGTCCTCTGTGGGCATCGGAGGCTCAGGAAGGCCTCCTGCCCAAGGTGGGGGAAGAGGCGGCTGCTCTGGTGTTTTCTTTCCCCAGTAGCACAGGGGTGCACCAGCTAGGAGAGGGGGTCGCACAGGACTTACGTTTTTGTTCAGGAACTTGCCCTGGTACCTGTGGTTCAGATGGATGAGCTCGGCGGCACCCTCCTGCTGCCCGTTCACCCAGGTTCCGACATACTTACTGCCCGTCTCTGCATAGAAGTAGGTGCCTTGCCCGTGCCTGGGAAGACAGGGACACGCTGTGTTCTGTCCTGGCATTCCAGAAACCTCCAGGTTACAGCCCAGATGTGGGGACCGCGGGGCCCGGGTGGAGGCCAGCTCACAAGCCACCTGGTTTCTCTATCTGTGTCTGCTAGCCAGGAGCCGGTGGCTCACGCCTGTAATCCCCGCTGCTCAGGAGGCCGAGCGCTGAGGAGTGCGGCACAAAGCCGGACCAGGCAGACAAATCTGAGAGATCCTTATTTCCAATTAACCTCAGAAAGCTTCAAGTAGAGCCGGGACTCGAGTGGTAGAGTGCCAGCTTTGATCCTAAAAGCTGAAGGACAGTGCTCAGGCCCTGAACTCAAGCTCCAGCACACACACACATGCACACACGTGCATGCACACATGCACACACATGCACACGTGCATACACATGCACACATGCATGCATGCACATGCACACACTGCATACACACATACACACATGCATACATATGCATGCATACACATATGCACACATACATGCGCGCGCACACAGGTGCGCACATACACAGCACTGGGAACGGTGGCTCCGGCCTGTCCTGCATTGGGTCCTCTGTGCCCATGCTCCCTGGGGCTTCTTGGGGAAGGACCTCCAGGTCCTGCGCCGCGAGACAGTGGTTCCTCCACTAGGGGGAGACAGTTGCCATCCCCAGCACTGTCCTGCACCCAGGGACAGGTCAGCAGTGGAGGCGAGGGGGCAAAGGGGCTCTGGTGGTGATTGGCTCCCGGTGGGTGTGGACCACCTGCAGGCGGCACCCTAGCTCATTCCACAGGAAGCCTGCGCGGGCAGAGGCGGAGCCGAACCTTTGGTGGTTGAACCACTCCCCGGTGTAGGTGTCGTTATTGACGTAGTAGTACACGCCATGGCCGTGCCGCTGGTCATCCGCCCACTCGCCTGGAAGGCACAAGGCAAGCAAGCCAGTGAGAGGCAGGGTCATGCACAGCTCCTTCCTGGCTCCCTGGGGAGGGCCCTAGCAGAGGAGCTGCTGTTCGTGGCTCCTGCCGTGATCTGGGGACCAGGGAGACAAATCCCAAAGACTCATCCCCAGTGAACTACCAAAAAGCTGGAAGGGGTCAGTGGCTCAAGTGGAAGAGTACCCCAGCCTGGAGAAAAAGCTAAGGGACAACAACCAGACCCTGAGTTCCAGCCCCAGTGACACACAGACACACCAAACAATCTGCAGAAGAGGGAGCGATCACTGCAGGGGTGAGGCCCCTGACCATCTCCCCTGATGCCTTCCTGTCCCCTGACATAGGTGTCGGCCAGCTAAGGAGCACTGGCTAAAGAGTCAGGGCTTCACTGGGCATGGGTCGGGGGAGGCAGGCCTCAGCCCTCTGCACATACCGACATGGTCATGGGTTGCTCAGGGAGTAGTTAGGATCCAAACAAGCTTGTCTGACCCATTTCCAGAGATACTAGTTTGCTTCTTGCAAGGATTTGGCTACCCAGCGGCAAAGCCATGGTGTCCGTCCAGGGGCCCCGCCTCGGTGTCCATCAGCATCCCATGCTCTCTCTCTCCTGGGCTCCTGGCTCCAGCACCCCCCTTCTGTGCCATGGCCCGTGGCTGCCCAGCTGAGCGCATGCTCCACATCTGCACCAGCCTTGCCCCAGGGCTCCCCATCCCTGGGGTCCTGGTCAGTGCCGAAGCCAGCAAAGACATCAAACTCCTCACTAGCCGCAGCAGTGAGGATGGCGGCGAGCTTGCCAAGTGCAGAGCAAAAACTCAAAGGCCGTTCGTACCACCGCCCTAGAAAGCGCTGCAGAAACCCAGCAGGGCTGCCCAACGCAGACAAGTTCTCTACCATTCCACATCACCCGTAAGTCAGCATGCTGAACAACACTTCTCAGAACTTGAGTAAAAATTAAACCTAATTTTGATCAATGCGTTTGTCAAAATGGAAAAAAATAGCCTATTCTCTCTAGAGAAAACATGGGGAGTTATTTTATTTCAGAGACGTAATGAGAAGTGTTAGAGTGCAGGAAGCAATCCTGGAAGTGTGGCAGGCTTTAATTTAAAAGAACCTCATGACCAAACACCGGTGGCTCACACTTGTAATCCTAGCAAATCAGGAGTCTGAGATAGGAGGATAAAAGTTTGAAGTCAGTCTAGGCAGAAAAGTCTGAAATTAATCATCCAAAATCCAGAAGTGGAGCTGTGGTTCAGGTGGTAGAGTGTTATCCTTAAGTGGAAAAAGCTAAGGGACAGTTCCCAGGCTGAGTTCAAGCCCCGGTATGGACATACACACACACACACACACACACACACGCGCATGCGTTAATTACCCAAGCAGTGTGTGTTCCTATGAATAAACTCCAAAGTTTATCTACAAAATGAATGTCTACCTGCTTCTTCAACCACTCCATATTTACTCAGCATCTGCCACACCCTATGCACTTGACCAGCCGGAAGAGCCCTGGTATGAGGGCAGCATCCGACTTCTGTTTGCATTGTGCTCGGGGACACAGGCCGCGTGAACAGCCGGCAGAGGGTGAGGCTGCAGGACGTGCCCGCCACAGGACATGGCAGTGGGCAACGGATCGGAGGGGGCACGGCTCACAGCTAAGAGAGCGAGCCGGCCCACGAAGGGACAGAGCCACCGTGCCAGGGGCCCCACACCAGGGGCCCAACCTGGGCAGGCCACCCCCACCATGAGGCCCAGAGTGTGGACAGAGGCTGCGGCCATTTTCCCAACCTTAAGCTGGGGCACGGCGCCTGCATTTGCAGCGCTCGCCAGTTTGGTGGAAATGCTCTCACCGCCACAAATTCCAAGCTACATGTGGAGTTGGGGTTTGCTCCAAGTTGGCTTTTGTGAGCGGTTCTGAGCCAGCCCCACACAGCCACGGGGCAGAGAGCTCGGCTCGACAGTCCTGTCATTTGGGTTCTTCCCAAAAAGGCTGTGACAAAAGTACTAGACCCTTCTCGGCCCACCTGAGCCGGTCCCCGGGCAGTGTGACAAGGTGGTCACTACGCGTTGTGCAGAAACTTTTAAAAAACGAAAGGCCAATTAAATTTCAAAACACACGTAAACTTCACGCCAGCCAGGACTGTTGAACACATTGAAAACAATAAAAGGCTTTAGAGACTTCACCCAGTACAGCGAGTCTTGCCTGAGGTGACCTTCCGGGCAGCTCTTCAGTGACTGAGTTCAAAGCTCCTTTACTGAAGTCAATGGTGTGGGTGTGGGTGCGGGTGCACCCACTGGCATGCACCCACGTTTGCCAGTCCTGGGGCTTGAACTCAAGACCTGGGTGTTGTCCTTGAGCACTTTTGCTCAAGGTTAGTGCTCTACTACTTGAGCCAGAGACTCCACTTTCAGCTTTTTAGTGGTTAATTGGCAATCAGAGTCTCCCGGACTTTCCTGCCCAGACTGGCTTCAAACCTGCGATCCTCAGATCTCAGACTCTTGAGTAGCTAGGATTACAGGCATGAGCCACCAGCTCCCAGCTGAAGTGACCATTTAGAACAGTGTTACTATTGCTCTAACTTTGCACTTTTCTTTTTTCCAGTACTAGGGTTTGAACTCAAGGCTTTGAGCATGACAGGCAGACACTCTGCCACTTGAGCCACATGCTGGGCCCTCTATTTCATACTTTTTTGATACTGTCTCAGGTCCCCCATATCCCCCACCCCTCCCAGCCAGCCTCAGACTGTGATCCTCTTACCTGAGCTTCCCAACTAGCTTGAATTACAGTGTGAACCATTATGCCCAGCTCATTGCTTGAGACAGGGTCTCATTAACTCCTCCAAGCTACCTCAAATGGAGATCCTCCGGATCTCTGCCTCCCAAGTAGCTGGGATTACAGGCATGAGCCACCATACCAAAAGCTGCATTCCGTTTTTTAAAAAAGTCTTTCTACACCTACTCGTGTACTTTCTCACGAATCTTGATCTTGTCCTTGGAAGATTAGTTTCTACTGTTTTGCAGTCCTGGGACCTCAAGCCTGTTGGATGAGCATATCTCTTCTCAGGATCAGCCTACACTAAATTGGGGAGTTGGGGAGAGGCCTTCCTCTGGGAGAGCAGAGGTCCTAGATGCCAACCCCTGCCACTGTGACCTTTGGCTCGAAGCTGGCTCTCAGGATTAGCCCTCCTCCCGAGAGGTGCTGCTTAGTCACTGTGTCTGGGCAGGGAACAGCACCCCTGACGCCAAGCTGGGCTCTCCGCTCAGAACAGTCGCTTGGAATGTGCCCTAGGGGCCACGTGCTCTGAAGATGGGGAGGGGAGACAGTCTAGGAGCACACCACTGGAACGCTGGGCTGGACAGCCGATTCCAGAGTCCCCAGCTCCTCTCGGCACGTCCATCTCTCCTCAGGCTCCTGATCGTCATGGCAACCTCTCCCGCTTCTCCACGCCGTGCTGCTGAACTTCTCTATCTGCGTTAGTCCCATGAGGTGGGCGGCATGGCCCTCACCTGGCCTCCATCTGCATGCAGACTTCCAGATCTGAAGTGGCCCAAGGCCTCACCAGCATCTGGCACCTGACCCTGCAACCAACCCCACTGCTCGCCACCTGTGAGCGCCGCCACCTTCCTGCCCCTGTTCCAGGCCCCCACCCATCCAGGAATGCCTGCCAGCTCTTCCCCTGCCGTTCTGGGGGCCTCTGTGCCTTCGTGGGCTCCTTGGTTGGACCTGTCCAAGCCTTCAAAAGACCAGTCCTGGGCCTCACGCCTAAGGGTCCTGAGGCTGGACATATCCGCCCCACAGAAAACCACTCCACCCATCATGATGGCCACCAGCCCAAACCGCAGTGATCAATCACTCAGCCATGCCTTGGGCTGTGTGGCTATAAGACTGACCTGCTGGGCTGGTGTTAACACTGCAGCTTCTGAACTGTTTCCATCACTGCCTAGCGAAAACAAGACACTTACTTTAACTTTAGTCAGAGAAGAATCTCTGAGCAGTGCCTGCACCTTACTAAGAATCCATCAGGAAAGACAGTGGCTCACACCTGTAGCTACTCAGGAGGCTGAGATCTAAGGATCAAGGTTCGAAGCCAGCCCAGGCAGGAAAGTCCATGAGACGCTTATCTTCAATTAATCACAGAAAAAGTGGTGCCGTGGTTCAAGTAGTAGAGTGCCAGCATTGAGCAAAAGGAGCTCAGGGACAGCGCCCAGGCCCAGAGTTCAAGGCCCATCATGAGGTGATGGGAGAGCAGTTGGGAGAGATGGGGAGAACAGAGGAAGGGGTGGCATTGACCAAGAAGCATGGTACTTCTAGACTGAGACCCCTTTGTACATCTACTTAAAGATCATTTTAAACACTCATAATGAAAAAATTGAGTCTCTCAGAAGAAACACGCTTTGCATAGCCTCCAAATTAATTTTATATCCAACTAGCAAGATCCTTGAAAACAGAGCACAATGTTCAGTGGCAGGAAGGAATCACAGCAGAGATGGAAAAATCCAGCTTCACAGGCAATACCTCCCAGACAGACCTTCCGTGAAGGAAGGCCAGGCCTAAAGAAACGCACGTGCATGAGAAGAGGGAACGGTGGGGAACAGAAACAGAGAAGAGAACTTCAGGGAGATGACCAGGATGCAGGGCCCTGGAGGCAGGAGCCCAGGGCCCAGTACAACACAGAAGCCTGGGCTCCCTGGCAGCCACCATCCGCTGCTTCCCATTCCCAGGCCACAGGAGGGCACGCGCCACCCACGGGGATAGTGACATTTCCACTGTAGGCTGGTTAGTTTGTCAGCCAGTTACCAGGGCCTTCGTCAACCATGGGGACCATAGGGACGTAGGAACGCAATCTCTGCCTCCTGAGTGACAGTGATCTGGAGAACTTGAACCTTTTCTTGTACAGTTCACTATCCACGGTCAAGTTCAAGCACAAGAAAAGAAGAACTTCCACAACCAAAAGCTGCTTTGATCCCTTTTTACCTTCATATCTGGATCCGTCTGGATATATGAAAGTGCCTTGACCATGCTTTTTATTTTTAACATATTCTCCAATGTATCGGGCGCCATTTTTAAATATGTAGGTTCCCTGAAATACATGGAATTTCGCATTCGCTAATGGAATATTAAACCTGGAGGCCCACCCTCGTACGCCACCAGCTCTGACCTGGCCGTGTCTTCTACCGAATTCGTAGTTCCCTTCGTAGGTGTCCCCGTTGGGCAGTCTAGCTCTCCCGTGCCCGTGCCGTTCCCCAGCTTCATTCCGGTCCCCTTCATATTCCTGGGTCAAAGAAATGAAGGTCATTCTGGCTACCACTCAGGAAGCGCTGCCTCCATGACAGCGTTTGACAAATACTGTTCCCCTGTCCCCCCCAGTTCTCAGGACAGGCAGTGGTCCCACTGTACAGGTGAGGTAATCATCAAACACTGGTCCAAGGTGGCACAGGTGGTGCCGGTGTCCACCATGGGAGCCCCGCTTCCTTCAGCATCTGAGCATGCAGCTCAGTATGGGAATCCTCCACACCACAAACACAATCAGCCCGAGTGTGGACAGTGATAGGGATACTGCGTTCTTCACCGGAATATGCTTGAAGTCTCCACCTGTGCAGAACGGGTCTCCAGCCTGCCCAAACACCTCCCCGCTCACTTTCTCCCAATACGCAGGACTTACAAATTCCCGGGAAAAGGTAACTTTTCCTTCAAATGATCCCCGGGATGGCTGTGGCCTGTAAAGGCTTTTGGCTCGGTGAGGAGGGATAGTAGGGGCTGGGGGCCCTGGGGGCGGCACTGACTCCTAATTCAGCTTCGTAAAGAGCCAAGTGAGGTCCTGAGTGCAATCCCCAGTACTGAGCAACAAGAAAGTAAAACTGGAGTTTGTTTAGACTTATTACAAGGCACATTATATTGAAGAAAAAGCTCAAACAACTGTACAAGTTCCGTCCCTTTTCTAACACTGCTCACATCTTACCCATTTGTTCCAGGTTATATTCTAAATGAAGGTGTACCAGAGGCCTCTCCTCCAATCCTAGAGTGCTCCCAACATGCCCAGTAGTCAGCCACCTGGATAGGTGACCAAGGAAGGGAGAACTCCTGTGTCTAGTTGTTTGAACTCGGGGCCCTGTGCTCGCTCTGCCCCTTGAGCCACACCCCAGTGAAGAATCCTTCAAAGTGACTCAGATACCAACTTGATTTCCACGTTAGGGGGGGGGGGGGCATCGAAATGTCACAGTCAGTGGAGTCCCAGGAGGGAGGAGACAGCTGGGAGGCTTGCTGGGGGGAGGGAGAGAGGGGGGCACTCCCGGGCACTTCCGGCTCCTCGCACCGCCCCCTCCCCCGGAGGAGATCAAAACCGGGAGAGGCCGCGGGACCGGAGCCCCGGGCTGGCACGACGGTCTGCGCAGGCGTCGGCAGCGCGCCGGGGGCGGGGCTAGAGGGCTCGGTGGATTCTAAGCTAGCTGGACGGTCCTTGCGCACGCGCACACTCACGCTCTGCGCACACGCACACTCACGCTCTGCGCGCACGCGCACACGGCCGGTCGGCCAGGGAGTGTGAGGGAGGTGTGTCGGAGCTCACGGGGTTCCAGCCCGAGGCCTCTCCGCTGCCCTAGCCCAGAGCGAGCCCTGGGTGGGGAGGGCCGCGTGCACAGGCCGCACAGGCCGCGGGGCG